TTTTATATATATTTGAAAATTTTTATAATAAAAATTGGGATAAAAAAACTCTACCTTAAAAATATATATACCTAGAGTGTTATACTGCCATTTTATTCATTTTTTTTAAAGAAAATACTTTTGCTCTATCAGAAAATTACTCTTAATAATCTAAGAATAGCAGTAATTTCAAAGACTTGGGTCCTCATGGAATATAATTTGCCTCTTACTCTATAAATCATAAATTTGAAGCTGTGAAAAGTAATGTGAATTCACATTTAAAGTAATGACTAAAAAAGATGTATTATGTCTAGAATAAACAGTACTTTGTAAATAACAACAACAACAATCAAGAGCTGCATATCACATTTGGTTGACTCATGGCTTAAAAGCAATGTGAGCACACAGAAAAAGTAGTGCAGTACACAGAAGTGCTATGTGAGGTGATACATAGACAATCGTTATGAATTGCCAATTGTACAATTAAAGTTATCAGTTGTCCAAACTGTCAAAATTCAAGTAAAGAAAAATCAAGGTCTGTTTTATTTAACTGAGGTATCTAGGGTGAGTAACTAAGGAAAACATAACCAAACTGACTATGAGAAGGAAGAAAAAAATAAATGACTTTTTTACAATTTTAAAATTAAATAAACAGGCCAGCATGGTGGCTCAAGCCTGTAATCTCAGCATTTTGGGATGTCAAGGTAGGAGGACTGCTTGAGGCTAGGAGTGCCAGACCAGCCTGAGCAACATAGTAAGACTCCCATCTCTATGAAAAATACAAAATCTCAACACTTTGGAAGGCCAAGGCAGATGAATCACCTGAGGTCAGGAGTTTGAGACCAGCCTGGCTAATATGGTGAAACCCGTCACTATTAAAAACACAAAAATTAGCTGGGCGTGGTGGCAGGTGCCTGTAATCTCAGCTACTTGGGAGGCTGAGGCAGTAGAATTGCTTGAACCCGGGAGGAGGAGGTTCCAGTGAGCCGAGATTGTACCACTCTGTTCCAGCCTGGCAACAGAGTAAGACTCCATCTTTCAAAAAAAAAAAAAAATCCATATTACCAATTTTACTTAGTTTTATAAACAAATATTCTATGGTCAAAAGGAATTTGAGGAGAAAAAAAGAAAAAACTAGTCATTTTTTTTTAGATTATGGATTTGTATGAAGGTATTGATACAAATCCATAATCTAAATATACAACCAGACATGCTATCTTTATATAGAACCTTAAGTTTCTTTTTAAGTATAAGGCCATTCCAGGTATTAAACACAAGGGAAAAGAAACCAATGGATCACATTTCCATGTTGGGTTCCTTTTACTTAGATCTTCTATGGAATGTGGTTAGGCCCTCAAGCCTCCAAGAGCAACCTAACTATGATAGCATTTGAACCAAATACTAAAAAGACAGTTCATTTGTATATTTTATGAATTCTGGTTTACTACATACTAAGTGATAGAAAATGAAATATTTTTGAAAGTTTCAGCTCATTTTAGCTGTAATCATAGTAATGAAAAAAATATATTTTTGTCCTTTCCTAGAAAAATTGTTAATGGGATAGTTATATACTCCAATGACCAAAGCGGTAGTGACAACAGAAATTTAAATGAGAAAATCCTATGGGAAAGGTGATACTTCAGCAGAGACTGGCAAGATTACTTACTGAGTCATTCCACAGCTGACCAAGACATTCTCATTCCAGGCCTCCATACTGAAATGTTATCCTAACTTGCAAAGCAACCCCCTCCCTTTTTTTAAATGAGTATTTTAATCCAATTTCAGGGAAAAAAATGGTACATGACTTGGATAAGAAAGCATAAAATTAAGGTTTTTCTGAAAATGCAAAAAAAAAAAAAAAAGAAAGAAAGAAAAGAAATAACCTTTAATATGTTCAATGCTAATTTTCTGGATCTTTGTCTTGTGTCAAAAGCTATATATTTTCTCCTCAAAGAAGCTGCTGCTCCAAGAACTAACTAGCCCTCTTCATCTCCCTCTAGCTAGGATAAACGAATTCCCCTCCACTCCCAACTCTCTTCTTTCAATAGCATTGCATAGGTGTTAATGGCCTGGGCTCTCCAATGAACAGAACTGTCCTTTAAGCCAGCAACCCACAGGCAGTGGCATACAATGTCTCACCCCCAGTCCCCAGGGCAGAAGCCACAGAGCTGGCCTGGCATTGTTTCCACTGTCTCAGGAAGAAGGAGCCAAAACCTGACCCTCAGCACAAATCAAAGCCCAATATGGATAGAGAAAAACTGCTTCTAGACCTGGAGTAGGCAAACTGTGGGCAAAAAGGGGAGTTTTTGCAGCCACTCCTCTTGAGAAACAAGGGGAAAACTAGACCTTTTTCCACTATTATGATCTACAAGGTACTCTATTGCTCCAAGGGGATCTAAAAGCACAAAACAATCTAAACAAAGAAGAAGAACTTTTCCCAGGCTGGGGATAAGAGGGACAAACAGAAAGATGGGTGAATGCAATAACGTGTAGGAAGATGATGCTGGGAATCTCCGTTCTTCACATGGCTGCCAGCCCTACAGAGGACAACATAGTAAGAACCAGGACAACCACTCCAAACTAGTATAGCTGGGGAATCTTCAGGCCTTTTTCCAGGTTCCACATCAAGTATCGGATCCCATGTCAGGTATGATACATGAGAGGGTGCAAACTTAGCTGTGTGAATCAGTGCTGACTCCAGACACAGGGACTTCATGAGTTCCAAATAAGACTCAAAGTTCCCAGGGAAAAACAGGGCTGACATGCCAAAAAGAGACCCCTGCACTCAAAGCAATACCAGTGCACGGTGGCAGATGGACCGACCACTCCATCTCTTCTTTGGCTGTGGTTCCCAAAGGAACAGCATTTCTGATACAGAGCTCAGGGCTAAAGTGGGCTTGGAGGCAATGAGGACCAACATATCTCAGCAAGAGTATAGCCATCTTGGGTTCTGGTCTGGGCAGATGTGCAAAGCCATTTTAAATACAATCTCCTTTGGTGTGCTGACTTACCCCAACGTGGGCAGATCACCTGATATCAGGAGTTTGAGATCAGCCTGGCCAACATGGAAAAAACCCGCCTCTACTAAAAATACAAAAATTAGCCGGGCATGGTGGCATGTGCCTGTAGTCACAGCTACTTCAGAGGCTGAGACAGGAGAATGGCTTTAACCTGGGAGGTGGAGATTGCAGTGAGTGGCGCCACTGTACTCCAACCTGGGTGACAGAGACTCCACATTAAAAAAAAAAAAAAGTCCTGCATCATCTCTCTGGCCCTAACCTACTTTACCACAGCACCCTTTTGCTTCCCACACACCAAATGCTGAAGTTCCTGAAATGACCATCTTCCCTAGCCTCTGCGTCATCAACTGCCTTTGCCTGAGACTTTCTTCTCTCCTTTGGGAGGCATTTCCCCCTAATTCCTATTTATCCCTAATATCTGAGCTCAAAGATTACTTTCCTAGGAAAACCTTCCCTGATTTCCCCAGCTGGGATAAGTCCCCATGTTACCTTCTCTCAAAAACACCTTACGTCCTTCGTTTTTAGCCCGTCTTGGCTTACTGGCATTTATTTGTGATTATTTATTTTATTTTTTGAGACAGAGTCTTGCTCTGTCACCCAGGCTGGAGTGCAGTGGCACCATCTAGGCTCACTGCAACCTCCACCTTCCGGGTTCAAGCGATACACTGCTTCAGCCTCCCGAGTAGCTGGGATTACAGGCATGTACCACCATGCCCAGCTAATTTTGCATTTTCAGTAAAGAGAGACCGGGTTTCACCATGTTGGCCAGACTGGTCTCGAACTCCTGACTTTGGGTGATCCGACCGCCTCAGCCTCCCAAAGTGCTGGAATTACAGGCGTGAGCCACAGCGTCGGGCCCTGATTATTTGCTTAATATCTGTTTTGCCCAATGATACTGAATAGTCTAAGGGCCAAGTCTGTAATTGTCACTATCATATCCTTGGCACTCACAACATAATAGGTACTAAAATTTTTTTTGAATTATAAAATAGTAAAGGAAGTATATGCTAAGTAATTAATCATTATTAAATGAAAATGCACATAAAATACTCTCCACAGCGCCCAACTGAGAACAACTGCTCCGTAAGTGTGAGCTCCCATTAATACTGGACTGAATATTCAGCCTCGTATCATTCACTGTGCTTAACCACTTCCACCTCCTAAACACATTTTTTACTCATGTTTGGACGCCACCAGTGCCCAGCACTAACATTAGTATTATACAAAGATGCTCTGTATTCGCTGAATTTAATTGCCTTTTAAATAAATCCGACTTTCAGCATATTTAGACAGAAGACACAACATGAACTTTTAGAGTTTCCCCGCTATAAACAAACTACAACCGGTCAGACTTTATACCACGTTCTTTTCTGCATTCGCATTAAAAGAAACCAGCAGTTTCCTGTGTTTACTTATCTCAAATTACGTACATAGGAACCAACGCTGGACGCCACACGAACGTTCATCACTGCTGACAAGTAATAAACTATTTTATTACTGGCAGCGAAAAGGGAAAAAAGGCACAAAGAAGAAAGGAAGGAAATGTGAAATCAGCGAACACCAGACCTTCAAAACATCAGAGAAAGTGAGTGGTGGGAGAGGGTGAAGTCACTAACAGGCATACTTTGTAGCACTGGAGTGCAATCGTGCAGCGTTCGCCTTTGAAAATGGAAACATTGTGTTTCGCATAACTCGAAGTTTCGGAAAGCCCTTCGAGAGAACCCCGAGCTGCGCCTTCCGCGAGCTCGCGAGTCAACCCGCAGGCAGAGTCAAGGGCCCAGGGTCGCCGCTCACCTCGTCGGGGCGGGAGCCTGGCCCCGGCTCTGCCGCCTGCGCCCCTTCCCGAGTCGCAGACGCGCGGCCCTCGGGAGCGAGACTTCCCCCACAACGGCGAGCAGCGGCGGCCCGGCCACAGCAGACGACCCCTCGACCCTACCCGGCAGGCAGCCACCCTGCCCCGCCCTCACCCCGCCGGACGCGGCGCGGCCCCAGGACCCTCACCTCCGGGCACGGCCTCCGGGCCTCAGCCTCACTCAGCTCAGGCGCCGAGGGCACCGTTTGGCCGCGGGCCCCGTTTGGCCAGAGCCCTTCAGTCCCGGAGCGCCGCCGCCCCAAACCTCCTCAGATTCCACCGCCGCGCCTCTGAGATCCCGCCCACCTCTCACAGTCTCTGTCGGGCGCCCAGCGCGCGCCGACGGCGACTCCGCGCAGACCGGAGGAGCCCGCGCGGGCGCGGGGGCGCGCCGAGGGGCGGGGCTTACTGCGTTCCGGCGCTTCAGGCCCGGTTGAGAACTGCGCTAATGGCCGCGGCGCTTTCCCGCAGCAGGCCGAGCGGCTGGCTGCCTCTTCCCTGGGCGCGGGAGACACAGGGACCTTGGTGTGTGCTCACCGGAGAACCCAGCGTGTGTTTACCCGGGTACCTCCTCAGCCTCTGAAGCCGGGGAGGGACGTCCCAGCATTCTGACAATGTGGAACTTGACCTGAGCCCTGCGGTCCTGGACAGCGACGTTGAAGACATCCCCACACCGCTTTGTTCCTAATAGGACTTACTGCACGCAAACGCCCTTTCCCATAAGACTTAGTCACGACTCAAGGATGCCCCCGTAGTTAGCTGCGACAAAGTCAGGCCCAAACCCTCTAAATTCCAGTTCTCCGCCTCACAAATGATTAGCTGACCTGCCTGTGCTCACGATGTGGACAAATGCCAGCTGCCTTGACTTGACCGGACTTTAGTGAAGCAGCTCTCCCCGGGCCTCTACAAGGTGGCCGAGCCTCAGCGGCAGCCAGCGACCACCCCTCCTCGACCACCGCCCGAAAATAGGCGGACCCCAAGGAAAACATTCTCTGTGTAGTCTCTTCGCTGCCACCCTCCACTCTTCTCCCCACCTCCCCACACCCGGGTCTTTCTAGCCCGGTTCTCTTCTCTCTGTAAAAGGAAACCCCTTTTCTGCCTGACCCAGGAGATCGCTGCAGATCTCATGGTTGGAGGGTTCTCCCGGTTGCAGTAGCCTCCCCCAAACCCCACTCTCAATTGCAATCGTTTCTTTCCCTTTTCTTGGATCTCTTACACTGAAATCTCTCCTTACGTATATCCAGATTTGTTTTTTATTTTATAGTCCAGCATTCTTCCTATTGCAACAGTCCTTTTTCCCATTGCAGTAGTTCTCCGCCCTTACTGCAATAGTCCATTTCCCCCCTACCCCCGTTGCAATAATCCGTTCCGAATAAAGTCTCGGCTTGCCTAAATCGGGATTTATTTGTTAGTCTTTAGTGCTGGAACTCAGATTGAGATTGATCCTCACTTACAGACCCATGCCAGTTCCCATCCCCCACCCCCTCATCTCCTGCTCAGCGATTTCCGGAGCCTGTGGTGACTTCAAATGTCAGTGCTTTTGGAGCACAGTAAAGAGTTAATTTGATCCCTTTGGGTTTTTCCACCATAGAAAGCATTGTCGAAGTAACCGCTGAACTAAGTAAAGCCAGCCCAATTTGATCCCTTTGGGCAAAGAGACTTTTCTTTGACCCTTCTGTGAGAGCTCTTCTAATTTTTGGTCCCAGCACCATTTAATGAAGAGAGGATTCTTCCCTTGTCAAAAATTAATTGACTATAGATGTATAAGTTTATTTCTGTACTCTCAATTCGACTCCATTGATTATGTAACTTATCTTTATGCTAGCACCATACTGTTTTGCTTACTGTAGCTTTGTAGTAGATTTTGAAATCAAACCACCTTATCGTTTTGCTTACTGTAGCTTTGTAGTAGGTTTTGAAATCACACCTCCCACTTTGTTCTTGTTTTTCAAGATTGTTTTGTCCCTTGCAATTTCCTATGACTTTTAGCTCAGCTTTTCCCTTTCTGTTAAAAACATTAAAAGGGGGGGCATTGGGATTTTGACAGAGGTTTCTTTGAATTGGTAGATCAACTTGAGGAGCATTGATATCTTAACAATATTAAGTCTTCAAATCCTTAAGCATGAATATTTTTCCATACAGTCATGTGCCACATAACAACCTTTTGGTCCATGACTTACAGCATATATGATGGTGGTCACATAAGATTTTAAGGCCGTATTTTTACTGCATCATATGTTTAGATATACAAATATTACCATTGTGTTACAGTTGTCTACAGTATTCAATACAGTAATGTGCTGTCTAGGCTTGTAGCCCAGGAGCAAGGCTATGAATATTGCCTATATGTGTAGTATACTAGACAATTCAGGTTTGTGTAAGTACACTCTGTGATGTTTACACAATGATTAAATCACTTAGGGACACATTTCTCAGAAGGTACATTCATCATCAAGCAATACATGACAACACATAGACCTTCTTTAATTTCTTTCAGTAGTGTTTTATGGTTTTTGGTGTACAAGTCTTATACCTCCTTGGTTAAATATATTTCTTTTCTTTTCTTCTTCTTCTTTTTTTTTGAGACAAAGTCTTGCCCTGTTGCCCACGCTGGAGTGCAATGGCGAGATCTCAGCTCACTGCAACCTCTGCCAATTGGGTTCAAGCAATTCTCCTGCCTTGGCCTCCCCAGTAGCTGGGATTATAGGTGTGTGCCACCATGCCTGGCTAATTGTTTCTTTTTCTTTTGTGTCTTTAGTAGAAATGAGGTTTCACCATGTTGGCCAGGCTGGTCTCAACTAGACTTCCTGACCTTGTGATTCACCCACCTCGGCCTCTCAAAGTGCTGGGATTACAGGTGTGAGCCACTGTGCCCAGCCAGTTAAATATATTTCAAAGTATTTTATTCTTTTTGATGCTATTGTAAAAGGAATTGATTTATTTCCTTTTTGGATGTTTTATTGCCAGTATTTGAAAATACCACTGATTTTGTGTGTTGATCTTGTATGTAACAACTTTACTGCATTCATTTATTAGCTCTAATCATTTGCTAGAGATGGGGTATCCTTATGTTACCCAGGTTGATCTCAAACTCCTGGGCTCAAGTGATCCTCCCATCACAATGTCCTGAGTAGCTAAGACCACAGATGTGTGCCACCATGCCCAACTAATTAAATTTTTTTGGGGGGGAAGGAGGGGAAAAATTTTTTTGTGTGGAGATGTGGTGTCACTGTATTGCCCAGGCTGGTCCCCAACCCCTGGCTGGCCTCAAGCTATCCTCCCTCCTTCTTGGGCCTCCCAAAGCACTGGGATTACAGGTATGAGATACCACACTTGGCCTCAGTTTTATTTCTTTCTAATTTGGATGCCTTTTATTTATTTTTCTTGCCTAATTGCTCTAGGTAGAACTTCCAGTACAATGTTGAATTAGAAATGATGAGTCTGGGTGTGGTGGCTCAAACCTGTAATGTCAGAACTTTAGGAGGCTAAGGCAGGAGAATTGCTTGAGCCCAGGAATTTGAGACCAACCTGGGGCAACATAGTGATACCCCATTACTAGAGTTAAAATTAAAAAAAAAAAAAGAAATTATGAGGCTGGGTATGGTAGCTCACAGCTGTAATCCCAGCCCTCTGGGAGGCTAAGGTGGGTGTATCACTTGAGGCCAGGATTTCGAGACCAGCCTGTCCAACATGGTGAAACCCCATCTCTACTAAAAATACAAAAATTAGCTGGGCCTGGTGGTGGGTGCCTGTAATCCCTGCTACTTGGGAGGCTGAGGCAGGAGAATCGCTTGAACCCAAGGGGCAGAGGTTTCAGTGAGCTGAGATCACACCACTGCACTCCAGCCTGTGAGACAGAGCAAGACTCTGCCTCAAAAAAAAAAGAAAAGAAAAGAAAAGAAAAAGAAAAAAGAAAAGAAATAAACAAACAAATACATAAATAAATGATGGGAGTGGGTGTCTTTGCCTTGTTCCTAATTTTAGAAAAAAAGCTTTCAGTCTTTCTTCATTGAATATGATATTATCTGTGTGTTTTTCTTTTTCTTTCTTTCTTTTTTTTTTTGAGATAGTCTCCCTCCATCTTTCTTTTTTTTTGAGATAGTCTCCCTCCATCCCCACATGGTAACCTCTATTCTACTTCATTTTCTTTTCTGTTTTTTTGTTTTGTTTTGTTTTGAGATGGGATTTCACCATGTTGCCCAGCCTGGTCTCAAACTCCTGGACTCAAAGCAATTTTCCCATCTTGGCCTTCCAAAGTGCTAGGATTACAGGTGGGAGCCACCATGCATAACCTATTCTACCTTCTGTCTCTAGGAACTTGCCCATTCTAGATACCTCATGTACATGGAATCCTGCAATATTTGTTCTTTTGTATCTGGCTTATTTCACTTAGCAGAATTCTTTTCTTTTCTCCTTCCTTCCTTCCTTCCTTCCTTCCTTCCTTCCTTCCTTCCTTCCTTCCTTCCTTCCTTCGTTTCTTTCTTTCTTTTTACCGAATCTCGCTCTGTCACCAGGCTGGAGTCCAGTGGCACAATCTTGGCTCACTGCAATCTCTGCCTCCCGGGTTCAAGCGATTCTCCTGCCTCAGCCTCCCAAGTAGCTGGGACTACAGGTGCAAACCACCACACCCAGCTAATTTTTGTAGTTTCAGTAGAGATGAGGTTTCACCCTGTTGGCCAGGATGGTCTTGCTCTCTTGACCTCATGATCCGCCCGCCTCAGCCTCCCAAAGTGCTGGGATTATAGGCATGAGCCACTGTGCCCGGCGTCATATTGTTTTTCAAATGGCAGCACCATCTTACATTCCTACCAGCAATGTATCTGTTTTCCAATTTCTCTATATCCTCCCAACACTTGTTATTTTCTGTGTGTGTGTATATGTACGTGTGTTTATAATAGCCATCCTAATTGCGTACAAAGTGGTATCTCATTGTAATTTTGATTTGCATTTCCCTGATGAATAGTGATGTTGAATATCTTTTCACGTGCCTATTGGCTGTTTGTATATTTTCTTTGGTGAAATACCTATTTAATTCTTTGTGAATTTTCAAATAGGGTTTTTTGTTTTGTTTTGTTTTTGTTGAGTTACAGGAGTTTTGGATTTTAAAATATATATATTATGGATAGTAATACCTTATCAGATATGTGATTTGCAAATCTTTCCTCTCATCCTGTGAATTGTCTTTTCATTCTGGTGTTAGTATCCTTTGATACACAAAAGTTTAAAATTTCAGTCAAATTAATGTATTCTTGTTTTTGCTATACTTTTGGTGTCATATCGAAGAAACTA